CACCTGTAAATAAGTCAGCATTTATGACCAGAAGAAAAATACGCTGGTCTTGGACTTTTATATTTATATGGAAAAGTTATAAAGACCTAAGCAACTAAGTCTACCCACAAAGAAAAAACAAATTTGTCTTCTTCCTTTATGGAAAGCCATGTGGAAACATTAATTGTTGGCTCAAAGAAAGTCTGACGATAAAAGATATTAGCTTAAAAATTTGTCTTATTTATTTGACAGCCTGTCATGAATAATTTGTCATGTCAACACAGGTGGATTCAGTGCACTGTTTTTAATAACTGTGTCATATTCCGTAGTGTGGACAAGCTTATTCAACTCATTCCCCTATTGACAGGTATTTAGGTTGTTTCCAGTATTTTTCCTCTTATAAATAATGCTGCGGTAAACATTTTCACAAGTATGCATATCGTGTATTGATGCCTTATAATGCAGTATTCTTTAAAGTTTAATTACCTTTTATTGACAAACTAAACATATCGTATGAATTCTTCTTTCTGTTGGTGGAATCTTGCAGGTCCTCGACCCGTTTGCTTTACTGTAAATAAGTTCACATTTACCCACGTCCTTACACACGAGAGCACATAGGTGTGGATGCACATAGGAAGCGTGTGCGGTACTCGTAACCTGCCCGCAGCCTGCACCCCAGCTCATCACCCTCCAGCCCCACCACTGATTCTTCTCACTCCCACCTTCCACGTGTCTGTGCCTTTGCAGGGTCCCTCTCTGCACTTCACTCAGTAAAACTTGCTTCGAGGCCTGGTTCAAGCTCATGTCCTCCTGAAGGTGTTCTCTAACCTCTCGGACCTTTAAAGCAGAAAACCCCCTCTTACTTTGTGACTCCACCGTGGTTTCTTCATCTCTTCCTTGCGGCCCTTCTCTCAGTCCGCTCTGTGTGAAGGTAGGCGGTGGACACACCTGTATCCTCAGATAGATTATGTCTCTTGGTGACAGACACCACCTCGGCCGAATGTGACACCTGCAGGTAGGAAAAGCTCAAAGAAATGTTGGCGGGGCTTGGACAGTTCGTCTAAAAATAAAAAGCAGTCGGGGCCCAATATTTGCTTTCCAAGTCCCATTATAAGTTATACCTAAATACAGTTGTTAGGGCAGTTTTGGGAAAAAATAGCCATGTGAAACAATCACAGATTTTATGTATATTTTTGACCTCAGGGACCTTTTCCTTATAGAACAGGAGTCAGCAAACCTTTTCTGTAAAGGGCCAGATAGTGAGTATTTTAGGCTCTGCCGGCTGTCAGACCTCTGCTACAGTTGTTCAACTTGACCGTTGTAGCCTGAAAGCAGCCATACACAGTAAGTAAACCGATGAGCATAGCTGTGTTCTAATAAAACTTCATTTATGAAAACAGGCTACGGCAGGATTTGCCTCGTGGACTGTAGTTTTCCAACTCATGTTCTAGGGCGTGTTTATTTACATGTAGACTAACCTGAGTTAAATTCAAATTCTTGCTCTTCTACTTGCTGTGTGACTTTGGGCAAGCTACTTAACCTCTCTGTCTTTTTCAACACACACATATAAGATTAATATTACCTCCTTCGTGTTAGGCATCTGGTTCAGGCCTAGCATTTATTGAGCACAAAGCAGTAGCCACTGATTTGCCTCATTAAAAGTAGTGGAAGCATAGAAGGAGGGTCAGAGAACATGCAGCTCCTATTTTCAAGGAAGTAGCAAAATCCTAAGGAAAAGGCAAGTCATTTGGAAGAACAACAGGTAGTAAAGACCAACGGATAGTAAAGATAGTAAAAGCAATGGGATGGCAGGGGCATGTCTCCAACACAAGCACTGAGAGTCACGTGCACTCCTCTAAAATGAATCACAGACAGACAGACGGGAAGCTTGACACTTGCTGCAGCAATAGCGATTCTATTAACAAAAGGTTTTGAAGGTTGTTTAGATGCTGGAGCTATTATGACTACATAGAAGGTGGAGGCTGGGCTTTAAGAAGAATTGGTGAAATGGTCAGAGCTGAGATTTTAGTGGTATTACCTTTTCAGCTAAAATGCAAAGAAATATTAATCTTCAGCACATGACTGGCCTGATCACCTCCAGACATTTCTGACCATGTGCAGTAGATTCTCCCAAGGCCAGTGCTGCGGTGGCTTCTTTCAGTGCCATCAAGATAAAAGCCCAAGTGCTTGAGAGCAGTGTGCCAGGCTTCCGCAGCTCCGCTCTAGCCAATTCCTTTAGCCCCACCTCTGGTCCTTCCTTTCCTCGCACAGTGCAGATGCTTCAGCCCCATCAGTTGACTGGCTTATTCGTGTCCCCAAATGCTCTCCCTTCCATTTTGCTCATGCTTGGTCTGTGCCGCTCCTGCTTTCCTCCCCCTCATTCCCTAGACCTTCGTGGCCCCATCGGTCACCCGCATCCCCATCCTTTCAGGACAGACCCGGCTCCATCCCCAGCCTCCTCCCGACCAACCTGCCCAGAGCCGCACCCTCCCTCCAGCCCCCAGGAACACTACTGTCCTCTCCGTTCTCTCCCCTACCTGTGTCAACAATCTCCAGCCCCAGGCCGTCTGTAGACACTTAGGAAACCCTCCGTTCCTGCAAGATGATGTGTAGGATAGAAGGAAGCCTGGATTTGGAGTCCGTTGAGTTTGCACTCTGGCTCCACCACTGACTCACTGTGCCCCCAAGATGCGCAAGTGGTTTAATATTTCTGAGCCTCAATTTCTTGATTCATAGCCTCCTGCACCTACCTTATAGCGTTTTTGTGAGAATGAAATGAGGTTAAATGAAATAAAGAACCTGGGAGTCCTTAGGAGGCGCCTGCCTCACTCAGGAGATATAACGGAATCTGAACAGTTTACAGCAGGGGGCCCCAACCCCCGGGCCAGGGACCAGTAGCCATCTGAGGCCTGTTAGGAACCAGGCCGCACAGCAGGAGGCGAGCCGCAGGCGAGCCGGTGAAGCTGCATCTGCCGCTGCCCCGTCACTGCCCGTCACTCGCATCACTGCCTGAACCATCCCCAGCCCTGCCTCCTTCTCCACCCCCGACCCCCACCGCGGTCCTGGGAAAAATTGTCTTCCATGAAACTGGTCCCTGGTGCCAAAAAGGTTGGGGACCGCTGGTTTACAGGGTTTGACTTGGTGTATCTCCCTGGTGATGTAATAATTTTGAAAGCAAGAACTATTCCTAAATATATCTGTGATTGATTTGCAGCACCTTGCATTTTTTTAAAAAGCCACTCATTAAATTTATTTGATTTATTTTTAAATTGCTTTATAAAATCCTCGTCAAAGTTACGTAAGGCATACTGGCTTCTTTTTTTTTTTTTTTAATTTTGTAAGCTAGAACTGCCATCTTCATCAGCATGTATTTGCAGAGGGATGCTTTCAGATGGTTTGAAAATCAACTCAAGTTTCATACAATTTGTAAAGTTTGGGGGGAAATACCTAGCTATTTGCCAAAAAGATGTAAGCAGAGCTGAAATTGTTCTTTTCTTTTCCATCTTATTCTTTGCAAAATGACTTTACTGTGCACACGTGCCTCTGACATCCCGCGTTGACCAGCTCTCTCCCCCAGAGGCTCGCTGCTTAGGGCTAAGCCCTCCTTCCACCATTAGTGTTCTTTCCTACAAGAATGTAGATAAATCCTGATGAGATATATAAATAATTTTATAGTGTATATTATATATATAATGAAATTAAACATATGGAATTAATAAAAATATTCCATATATTTTTATGCATGACCATGATGCATAAGAGTTTGTAGACTATGTTATAATATATTGTTTCACTGATTGTTCCAAACAAACCCTGTAAGGCAAGTACTGTCTTGGTTTTGCAGGTTGGGAAGCTGAGGCTTCTAGAATCTAATTGCTCACTCTGGGCCTCAAACCCAGGGCACAGGGCCTAAGACACAGACTCAGGTTTTGGGTGGACTGGCCTCTGCTTGCACCACAGGAGATTAACTACCTGAGGCTGGTGTGCGCCACAATGGCTGTGTGGGACCTTCTTTTAAGGTCCAAAGGTGGGATTTCAACAGAAATTCTTTCTCAGTTAATTGCTTTTTTGATTAAAAAACTCTTCATGGTTAAAAAGTATCTGATTAATAGAATGTGTTTTTATCATGACATACACGTTTTTGGAACATACAGGTAAAATTGCCTCAAATTATGTACCAGTCACTTAGGTTTCTATGTAAGATTTTAGTAACTGAATCAGTTTCCTCATCTAAAACAAAAACTGAAACAGTACTGGCATGCCTACCTTAACGGCTTGTCAGTGAAGATAAAATGAGAGAGCAGTTATCCAAGTGCAATCAGAAAATATGCTTGCCAAGCAAGGTATTATAATTTTCATTAAAATCTTAAATACTGCAGATAAATTAATGAACCATCTCAAGTTCTGTCTACCTAAAATTAGTTACTAGGTAATTAGCAACACTGGAAAAGTTTCATTTCAGAAACTTCCATATTCATTACAAACTATGAGCCTCAAGTTCTAACGAAGTTCCATGACGAAAGAGTTACAGAATTAGTCCTTACTGTATTCTGGAGCATTTTAAAAGTTAATTAATTCTCTGACATTCAACAGCGTAACTAAGTTACTTTGTACTGTTGTTTGAGCACAATGTCTATAATCTTTTGATTAAAACAAGCACAGAAATCATCAGTAGCAATTATTATTTACTACCTACCACACCATCACCTACCATCCCTAATAGCTCCTCCTCAGAATCTGAAGAGGTTATTTTCCAGAGAGTTTTAGAAACTTTTTGCTATAATAGAACGGGGTGTTGGGAGCTTTCAACTTTCAGGTTTCAAACTTAACAGTTTCTGAACAAAAGTGTATTTTTAAATCTTAAATTGAAGAAAAATTCTAACAAGGCTCTGTGCAGCAAAAATACCTGCTAATTCACTATTGTTTACCCTGTGGTTTCTATTAAAATTTGTGCTGCTGTCATGATTTATTCCTACCTCACAGGATAATGAATCTAGGTTTTATTTCTGTTCTCTGCCCAGACTTGTACAGCAGGCAAAGTGTTTGAAAATCAAAGGAACAGAAGATATTGACTTGGATATCCTCTTCAGAGGTAAAAACAAAAACACTAGCAAAAAACGCAGACTCTGCTTTTTTGCTGGGAAGAATGTCTCGTTTGTGTGTGTGGTTGGTGTTATCGTTCCAGAAAGGAATGGGGCAAAGAACCTGCCGGGGGCCCAGACACTTGTGCTCTCCTCTCATCCCAACCCTATTTCACTGCTCTGACCTTCATTTCCTCATTTTTAAAGTGAAAGACTCTATAATCTGCTCTGTGGTCCTCACTGATGACAAGACAAATCTAAACCTATAGAAATAACACAGCTCAGTGGTGGAATCTCTCTCTGCCATCTGCACAGGGCGTGGAGGGAAACCAGAAGTGTCTCCTTGGGCTCATATAAGTCGGGGGGACTGCGGAATGGACTTCGTTAGCAAGACAGGCAAGAAGGTTATGGCCAACCTTAAGTGTCAAAAGCTAAGGGATTATTAGAGTATAGGGGAAAGAATTGCATGTTTTCACTTAATTATGTTTCTTTGCAATTAAGGCTCAATATACACAGAATGTCATGTATAATTTTGAGGTTACACTGTAGCAAGCTAAGGAATAAATTTCCTCTTGGCTGTTAATTTGGTGCAATAATTTTTATTTGGTCAGATAAAAAATGTTGGTAAGTTGTACTTTCGTGTCTTCAGCAATGTAGTTCTACGTGTTTGTATCTTCCAGAACATGGTAGGGGATCTGTTTATCTTCTAGAGGAAAAGAAAATTAGTGAGTTTTCTCCTGATTTGGCTGAAAGTTCAAGTTAGTACAATCTGGTTGCATTGCACTCCATCTCCAAAACAATTACCTATTCGACTTTTCTTAAGAGAAAAGGAGTGTGCTTTACAGTCATTGAACAAAAGGGCTGTGGCTTCTTTTTCTTTTAATTGAAGTATAGTTGCTGTACAATATTATATAAGTTACCAGGGTACAATATGGTGATTCACAATTTTTAAAGGTTACACTCCATTTATAGTCATTATAAAATATTGACTATATTTCCCGTGTTGTACAATATATACTTGCAGCTTATTTTATATCTAATAGTTTGTACCTCTTACTCCGCATCCCTATATTGCCTCTCCCCCTACTGGTAACCACTAGCTTGTTCTCTGTATCTGTGAGTCTGCTTCTTTTTTGTTATAGTCACTAGTTTGTTGTATTTTTTAGATTCCACATATAAGTGATATCATACAACATTTGTCTTTCTCTTGTCTGACTTATTTCACTTAGCATAATGCCTTCCAAGTCCATCCATGTTGCTGCAAATGGCAAAACCGTTCTTTTTTATGGCTGAGTAGTAGTAGTCCATTGTGTATATACACATCTTCTTTATCCATTCATCTGTTGATGGACACTTAGGTTGCTTCCATATCGTGGCTATAGTAAATAATGCCGCCGTGAACATCGGGGTGCATGTATCTTTTTGAATTAGTGTTTTTATTTTTTTCTAATATATACTGAGGTGTGGAATTACTGGGTCATATGGTAGTTCTATTTTTAGTTTTTTGAGACCCCTCCATACTGTTTTCCACAGTGGCTGCACCAATTTACATTCCCACCACCAGTGTAGGAGGGTCCAAAAGGGCTGTGGATCCTGTGGGCTGATCTCAGGCAGGGCCGAGCTCCTCTCGTAACTGGAAGAACACTTGATTTTATCTCATCCACGAAGCGGGGAGGAATTTTTTCCTCAGAAAAGGGAGGGAAGTTAAGTTACTCTGTTTGGATTGCGCATCTATATGTGTCTCCCTAGCCAGAAGAATTTCTACATAATATAACTAGATAGGAACATCTCTTTAAAAAAAATGAAATAAATAACTGATATTTTGGAAGCTGCTCCATACAAATGTTCTCATCCATTTTACCAGCCTCCATTCTGTAAACAACATGTTTGGAACTGCATGAAGAGCCCTAAAAAAGCATCAGTGTCTCAATTCATATTTTGACACCTTTGCAAGTATCTCCACAGAGTAATTATGTATACGTTCCTGTTAAAACGAATACACAGTCAGTTTAGTAGTTCACATAGTAAAATACTAATGAGGATCATCCTTATAAATATAGAAAATATCCCTAGCAAAATGCAACTGCATAATGTGAAAGATGAAATCCATCTTGTTTAGTAAGCACCTGTGCTTTTCTGTGTAGTTTATAAGAAGTTCATAACCACGTGTGTTTATTTATTGGTGCATTTACCATGCTTCTTAATTTAAACACCTGATTTCCTCCCAGAGATGGTCTGTGTTCACAGACCCGGGACATTAATGACGGGGAGCCCCCGCCTGGTGCAGAGCGCGTGCTGCCGGGGCCACTGTGCTTCTTGTTGAGAAGATGCCTCAGGGGTCCATCCGAGCAGGATTTATTTAGCGCTCTGTCTAGCCTTTTGTCACCCAAAGTGGTTCTTCCTCATATTGATCTAACCCTTGTTATTATAATTAAGCTCATTTTCTCTGGCTCTAACCTGGATGAGACAAAATAATGAGAATAAATATGTTGCTACTGTGACATTAAGTGATTATTTAATATTTCCCTGTTATTTTCTGTAAGCCTATAAATCTGAGTATAATTTCTAAATCCTTACCTTTGTTTTTTGTTTCTTCGGTCTGGCCATAGATTTGAATAAACACGTTCTTTAATTCATTAGGAATATTTCTCCTTTTTTTTTTTTTTTTTTTTTTTTTAAGGAAAATGAGTTAAAATCTGTCCCTCATTTCTCCCGTGAGGGAAAATAGTATATCTTGGATTTTTAGAGATTGTGTGCACATGTGTACACGAGCACATGTAGCTTCTCCTCTTCATATCTTTGGCATGTTTTCAGTATTTACTTGGAAACATCTTCATTTTCTAAATCGTTTTATTCACAGTTGATATGCTTGGCAGATATAATGGAAAGTATTTTAAAGGCCATCATTATTTTCCAGCATACTTCTTAGAGCTTCAACATTTTTCCTTTTCCAAAGAATTAGATCAGATGATAGAAACATTTAGTTTATAATGATGTAAATTGGTTGAGGAAAACATGATTGTCTTGAAGGATGTTTGGTAGTAAAATTAACAGAAGTAAGCTGGAGTCTGTCTTAACTCACCTGAAGGTTTGCAGGGAAGCTTACTGGGTGTTAACACCTGAGAGGTGGCAGGTGGTAATTAGCCTTTGTGCCCTTTGCTAAGTAAATAAGGCATGAGCACAGAGCGACTCCAAACATGTCCCTTCTCTGGAATGGAATTGGCTTCTGCGCAGTGGCCTGTCAGGTTTTTCCCTCTGCTCTGGACTGTTCCGCTAAGAACTGCATTTAATCTGCTCCTTTGAAAACAAGTTTGAGGGAGGCTATGAAAGCGCGTTTCCTTGAATCCAAGGGACCTGCTCACCCACGCGATCTGCCCCCCTGCCCCTCAGAGACCCCTGGACCAGGGCTCCCGAACCTCACTACTGGACCACAGGCAGACGTCCTGCAGGGCCACCACGCTGTCCCACCCTAGGGGCAGCTTTGGTCTTGTGGAGTGTTCAGCTGGGAAACTGGGGTGGGGGGGGGGGTTCCTTACTATTGATTATTTCGGGCCCCAAATGTGTAACTAATGTTCACTCTTTTAAAAAACCCAAAATTTCACAAAGCAAAAAATATGAGATAAACATTGTTAATAAATCCTTCACAGATTTACTTTGGATGTAACAATTCACCTTGTGGTTTTCTTTACCAGTATAGAATCATAGTGTATTTGGTGATGTTTACACTTGCTGCTGCATCATGACTATCTTCCTAAGTCAGTGCATATACATCTGCTAGGTTCTTTTTTTTTTTTCCCCTAAGTAAAAATTGTACCCACATCCACAAGAGATCACATCCACTTAATCTTGGGGCAAGAAAAGAAGCTGACGGAAGCTCACCTTATTCTATGCACTTACCACCTCCTGCCACCGTCACGCTTCTGATTTCTATCGCTATCAGTTACTTTTTCCTGATTTTGAACGTTTTATAAATGTAATCACACAGTGTGTGCTCTTTCATGTCTGACTTTTGCTAACATGATGTTTGTAAGATCCATCCAAATCATGGTTTGTGTATACTCATTACTGTATGTTGTTCAATTTTATGGTGATAACCACAATTTTTTTATTTTAGTGCTGGTTGTTTTCAGTTTTGCTGTCTTACCAATGGTGCCACTAGGAACATTCTCGTATGTGATTTGGTGGATATGTGTATGCATTTCTGTAGGGAACATACCTAATAATGGACCTCCTGGGTAACTGGGTTTGTATAAGTTCACCTTCAGGAGGAGCTGGTGTCAAATATTTTTACAAATCGGTTGTCCCAGTACGTTCCTCGCAGCACTGTGTGGAAATTGCAAGTACTCATCATCCCTGACGGCAGTTCGTTTTTGTCAGTCACTTTAATTTTAGCCATTCTTTTGGATCTACGGTATTATTAAATTATGCTTCTAATTTCGCATTTCCCTGAATCCTAATGAACTTGAACACATTTTCATCTTTGTTGGCTATTTGAACACCCTCTTTTGTGAAATGCATCTTTTAGGTTGTATTGTTCCTATTGAAATGCAGTAGTTCTTTGTATTTGTACATGAGTCCGTTGTTGGATAGATGTGTTGCAGATTTCTTCTCCAGCCTGTGATCTGCCTTTCACTCTCAGTGGTGCCTTGTGAGGAATAGAAATTCCAGATTTCGATACCGTCCATCAGTCCTTTTTATCGTGGTTAGCACTTGAGTGTCCTGTTTAAAACATTTGCCTGTTGCAGGGTCATTACCGTGTTCTGTTATTCTTTGTTCTAGAATCTTTGTTTTTCTTTCACGTTTATATCTACAGTGCACCTGGACATTATTTTTTATACCTGATAAAGCATAGGCATCAAGATTTACTTTTTATGTGAATATTCAGTTGACCCAGCATCATTTATTTTTTAAAAAACCCTTCCTTTCCCCTATTGTTCATCATAAAGCAAGTGACCAACATTGTCCTGTGCTTCAGTGTATCTCTTGTAAGTGGCGTGTGATATTTACTTTG